CTGCCCAACACTTATTATGGAGTTTCTCAAGGCCGGGATGTAGTACACGCCGGTGAGGACACGGTGCTCCCCTGTCTTAGCTTTGAAGATGATCGAGTCGACTCCCTTGATCTCGACGACAGAGGCGTCACCGAACTTGACGGAGCCCTTCACGCCGGAGTCTAGGTCGGAGAAGAACTCGCGCCGACCAGTCATGTGGTGCGTGGCACCTGTGTCGAGGTACCAGCCGTCAATCTTGTCATCGTCTGTGCCTTTGCCGAGGAAGGTGTGGGCGCGCGGTTCGTCGTGGTGGAGCTGTGTGGAGCCAGTCGACGTGGAAAGGGGAAATCTTGGACCTTTCATCCCCTCCTCTGCTTCTCGCCGTGGCTCGACGCACCTGTGGACTAGGAACAGAGTAGCATCCACCTCCCTTGCTTGCATGACGAGAGCCTGCCCACCGCGGCATGGAGGAAGGCGGCAGCCCTTGGCCCAGTGGCCGGTCCTGCCGTAGTTGTTGTAGGTGTCATCCCGGGTCGCCTTGCACTCGTCGATAGCACCGCCATCAGCGCCTGCCTGACCCCGAGGCCCCTTCTCCTCCTTCTTCTTGCCACCGCGTGGACGTCGGCGATGTTCCTTGGAGGAGCCGGATGGTCCGGATCCTTCCTCATTCTTCTTCTCGAAGGAGCGCCACTGCTCCATTGTGTACAGCAGCTTGCCTCCGGCGGTGCTCGGCTCGGTGTGAGGCCCCTCCTCGTGGTCTTGCACCGCCTTGAGCCTCCCAGTCACATCCTCGACGGTGAGCTGCTCGAAGTCAAGGAGCGTCTCAATCGACATGATGATCTGCACGTACTTCCTCGACATGCAGCGGAGGAATTTCTCCACCGCACCCTCCTCTCTGAGGTCGGTGTCGCCGTTGTGCGCCATCTGCTCCATTAGGTTGGTCAGCCGCATGGTGAAGTCCTCGACTTGCTCACCGGGATGACAGGCGAGGCCTTCCCACTCCCCTCGGAGGTGCTGCAGCGTTGCCCGGCGTACGCGATCTCCGTCAACGGGTGCCGCGACGATACGCCAGCTTCATCGTGGCCTTGTTGGCGATGGAAGCACCAAGCTCGATGGGGACGGTGGCGCACAGCGCCTCCAGTGCCCGGCGATCGTCGTCATAGTCGACGCCGCCGACGTGGACCGCCTCCCACAACCGTTGAGCCTGCAACTTAACCTTCATCAGTAGGCTCCACTCGTGGTAGTTCAACTTGGTAAGCATCGGCCATGGTGTTCCCTCTTCGGAGTCATGGTAGACCGTCTACAGCACCGGAGAGTGCCCGTGGCGACCGACAGCGGCGCCCGTCCGGGCTGGGGGACCCTCCTCCCGCTGCTGGCTCCTGCTCCTACTGCTCCATCTCAGCGCGTAGCGCCACGGCTGCAGCCACCGCGGCCTTTGCCGCAGCCGCTGCCTGCCTGGCCGTCTCAGCTGCCGCCGTAGCCACTGCCTCTGCGGCAGCAAGGCTCGTCGCGCGGTCGTCGGCTCCTGCTCCAACTCTGGTGCCGGCAGCAGCGCGGGCTCTGGCGATCTTGCTGGCGGTGGACATGGCTCTCTGCTCACTCAAGAACACAAGGCTCTGATATCAAATGATGGCCAAAATAGATCTCAAATTTAGATTTGGCAATTACCAGAGGACAGCTTAGCCCTTGGCCGCTTGGATTGAAGGAAATGCAATGGCTTGGTTTTTATAATGACACTCCTTGCCCTTTATAGGCAGGAGGACTACCACTTGCTGCAGCATATTCTAACCACTAAAGTAGATGCTGAGCATATTCCTAACACTAGGCTTGGAAGCAAGGAAAGTAAAAGTGCAGGAAAAGTAAGATACAAGTGCTTTAGCATTAGGCTTATCTATCACGGTGAAGCAAGGAATGACAAACCGGAAATGGATAGACCACATTTTCCTGCCTACATCAGCTGAAGAGGTAAGAAAATTTATCAAGCTCTGTGAGGCTACCAATTCGGTGCAGCTCAACGTGGCAGTTGAGGATGAACTGAGATGGAGATGGACGCAGGATGGGGAGTACTCCGCTAAGAGTGCTTATCAAATTCAATTCGTGGGAGTTTTTTCCAAAACCAAAATCTCAACTGTTTGGAGGGCCAAAGCAGAGCACAAAACAGCAAATAATTTGATGAAGCGAGGGTGGACGGATGATACGGATTGCAGGTTGTGTGGAAATGAACTAGAAACACTGGTGCACCTGTGCAAGGATTGTCCCTTCACGAAGGAAGTATGGGAGATCATGAAGCAGTGGTTACATCTGTCAGCAATTCAATCGGTAAATTCCTCAGGTTCGCTGCATGCATATTGGTGGAGATGTAGATGCAAGTTCAACAAGAATCAGAGAAGAATGGTGGATGGGATTTTCATCTATTTTTGGTGGAACATATGGAAGGAGAGAAACAGAAGACAATTTCAACAAAAGGCTCTCAATCCTCATCAAGTTGCAGTCCTTTGTAAAGATGACATTATGCAATATGGATTGGCCATGGCATCAAGGACAAATGCAGCTTCTGATTAGCATACCTTCAGTGACCGATTTTTGGTGTTGTGTGCTTGTGGTTTTCTTCCAGTGCCGGTTGCCTGGCCGTTCTTTAGTTTTTTTCTTTGTGTCTTCGTTGTCTTGGGCTAGTTGTTTTTCTTCAGGTTGGGGTAGCATTCTCTAGAGTTGGCCGGCTTGTATATCTTTGTAAATCTCTTTTTTCTTTTCTATCGTCTAATAAAAAATGCGGCAAAGCTTTTGCTGTCCCTTCTAAAAAAAAGATCTTATGACAGGTTAAGCTGAAACAAGGACTGAAAGAGTGCAATGGGCATCTCTACTGATGGAAATCGCTATTTGCATGTAATTCCTTTTTCCCCTTTTTCGTTTCTGTCATTTTTCTGTAGTAACTTACTTTGTCTTTGTTTGCTAAAAAATAATGTAGGACTGCGAATTTTGGAAACTTTATAAGGACAATCCAGCAAGCTGTGCGATTGTGATGAAAACTTCAGTTGGTCTTTTCTATCTCCTTGCCTATCTGCTGGAGTCTTTCATGCCTTCCAGTCTTCCTTTTCCAAAGAAGTATGGTCCTAATTATTATTGAGTGTTGAGTTTCTTCGAATAACATTCTCTTGCCCCCAAATATCACTGTGGTATCTTCTATAAGGTGCTACGTCAATTAAACCTGTCCCCAGAAGAAAATCTTTCTTTCATTGAAGAAAAGGGCGAAAGTGCGAAGGCAAAACCCCCTTGGGATCTTGTACCAGCAATGCACAAAATAGGGAGGCCTGTGCATCTATTTGAGGAATTGGTGCATCTTTGATTTATAATTTTTTTGTTTGTTGGCCATAAGTTTACACCCCATAACTTGAACTCATTGCAGAAAGATGAAAAGGTGAGTGAGTATAGGGAAAAATATGCAGGCAGTCAAGCTGAGAGGAGCTCGAAAGCAGTGGCTGACGCTGAAGCCACAAACATTGCTAACCAGCTCAAAAGCATAGCATTATCTGGTAATGTTTAGACAATTTACTCTTCAAATTTTGCTAGAAGCCCAGAACACAACGCAGAACTGTCTTTTCTGCTGCACATTTTGGAACAAAGAGAAAAAATCATGTTGGTCAACTTACAGAAACAGTTATCTAGAGATCAAGCACTTCTGTACTTGTTCAGTTTTTGCAGGTGTGCTTTGAAGCACCATGCTCACCTGGGCTCAAACCCGGATGCCCACTGCTTCTTAATGTGAGCTAGAGCTCCTAGTGTAATTTTGGAAAACAATTTTTTTTGAACGAAATAATTTTAGAAAACAATAACAGAATTATATCATGCAAGTATCAGCTTCATGGTAGATTTCAACCTTTCTGTCCTGTTTTAAGTGCTACGAGTCTTCTTTGAATTATTTTCTGCCAATCTATTTCAGATTGCAGCAAGTAATTGTCTATGTTTTCTCATTTTTCTTATGCAGGAGGCTCAAAAAAGGAACAAAAGAAATAGTCTGGTAACTCAAAATCAAAGGTGGCAGAGGCAGAATTACTTGTTACAAAGTTGGAGATTAGAGTGGGGCTTATAAAAAAAGCAGAGAAGCACTCAGATGCTGGTTCGATGTATGAAGAAGAAACTGATATTGGAGAGGAGGCTCCAAGAACGGTGGTTAGTGGCCTTGTCAAATAAATTCCTCTTGAAGAAATGCAGGTTGCTCTTTCCAGACATGATTTGGGTTTTGCAGGTATTTCCTTGCGATGCCTTGCTTGTTATCACTGATTTGTGATATCTACTATGAATGAGCAGAACTTTTTTTTCTCTCGAACACACAGGAGAGCTACGTATCATTATATTAAGAAAAAAACGGCAACACAACCACAAACAAACATAAACACCAACACTAACACACACTACACACGCCACTCTAATGTTTTGTGATTACAAGCGTGCCTGTTAGAACTGAGACAAGGGACCAACACCCCTAGACTCCAACCTACTGCTCCTCGTGAGCCGGACCAGTCAAAGAAGAGAGGCTCCATGCGCCTGCTGTCTCTCAAAGATGTCGTTCATCACTAGTGACGCTGAGAGCTCTTGACATACTAGGAGTCACTCCCTCGAATACACAAGCATTGCGACGTGTCCAGATAATCTAAGCCCCTAGCGCGACCAGTGAATCAAATCCCTTCTTTTGGTGTTCTGGAATTATGCGCCCTCTATCCCACCATTCATCAAACTCTGTATCAGCTGGCTAAGGTGCAAATTGTTGTAACCCGACGTGACAAAGGATGGAGTACCAATACTTTCTTGCAAAGGGGCATGATATTAGCAGATGATTTATTGTCTCCTGTTCCTGGTCACATAAGAGGCACCGCTCAGGATGGGGCAGACCACCACGACGCGCAAGCCGATCAACCATCCAACATCTGTCATGATTCATGAGCTACAAGCCATAGAAAAAACTTGCACTTTCCAGGAGCCCAACTTTTCCAAATTCATTCCCATGCCTAAACTGATCCTTGAGGATGAATGAGCAGAACTGGAAAGTCTGTGTTCCCTGCAATCTGAAACCAGTGATGATGCGTGGTATAAAATCACATGCCATGGTTTTGGCTCCTTCTGATGAGGATCATACTAGGGTAAGGCATGCAATACCCTCACACATTTGATTAAATTTACACTCTGAAACTGGAAGTGCACTATCATAAAGTAGTACAGAAGTCATTTTGATGTAAGATAGTGCTTAACATGCGCAATTTAGGTTGAGTTGGTTGAGCCACCGGTGGATGCAGCCGTGGGGGAGAGGGTGACCTTTACTGGGCACTCTGGTGAGCCTGAGGCTTCTCTCAGTGGCAAGAGCAAGGTGTGGGAGAAGCTAGTCGCTGACCTGCATAGCACTGGCGAGCTTGTGGCCTGCTACAAAGATGTCCCTTAGAAAAAAATTGCGATAACATTTCAGAAAAAAAGTCTCAAACAAAAGTTTAAGTGACTTCGACAATAACACATTTGATCCATACTATGTAGAAGTTTAAGTGACTTGGACAATAACACAAGTGTCATTTAACAACCTCATACTTTCCTATTTAGTATAAACACATGTGACAACTAAGAACTAGAAGTGGATATGGTTCTAGCCTTTTGTATTTGAGCTTGTGGCCTGCTTCTCCAATGGTTTCAGATATTTGTTCAGTAGCACAAGTTAACTGTACTGTCAGCAGGTTCCACATGAATGAGCCGAATTTTGTAATTATATACGTATACAGTATAATTGGATTAACAATAAGTAGTATTTGCACTATTTTAAATGTACAATTTTGATATTTGTGTTTTGTAATTTTTGAATATCATATTCATTGTGCATTTGTTCACTGAGAATTATCTCATTACGTGTGAGTAAATATTTTTTAGAGCATCTCATCATATTCATTGTGACTAAATTATATACATCTCATATTTGTGTCATAGCCTTGCCGTGCCCTTCCACCACCGTCATCTCTCCCTTCTCTTTGGCCTCAACGTCGTGCAGTGCACAGAACGTCGACATCGGGAGAGTGGCCTCATCGTCATCATCATCAGCCTACGCCAGATGAGCCTCAGCCTTCTTCTCCTGCTTACAACTTGGGTACTCCTTTGCCCAATGACCCGTCTTCCCGCAGCGCGGGCAGGCGTTGGGGTCAACATTCTTCTTCTTCTGCGAAGAAGCCTTGCTACGGCGCTTGCCATCGCCACCGCGGCTGGAGGAGGCTTCTCCGGACTTCTTCTTTATCCGGGCAGCCCACTCCTCCTCCGTCAGCAGCAGCTTGCCGCTGTCCGTCGTTGCTATGGCCTGCTCCATGCGCTCATCCACTGCCCGTAGACGGCCTGTCACATCCTCAATGGTGAGGGTGGACAAGTCTAGCATCGTCTCTATGGAGAGAGACATCCGGATGTACTTCGCCGGCACGAAGTGAAGGTACTTGGAGACCGTCTCTTCTTCGTCGATGATCACACCGTGGCTCCTCAGCTTACTGATGAGCGTTTGCAGGCGGAGGGAGAAATCCTCCACCGCCTCACTATCCTTGAACTTGAGGTTGGCGTACTCCTGCTTCAGCAGCTGGGTCATCGCCTTCTTTGCGCGGTCGGAACCGACGCGTATCACCGCAATGGCCTCCCACGCCTCCTCAGCGGAGCTCTTCGCCCCCAACGGCTCCCTGTACTCTGCTAGCACAGCAGCGAGGATGGCTTGCAACGCTGGCATGTCGTCCTCTTCGTTGTCAGTGCCCTTGTCAATGGCATTCTAGAGCCGTCGGGCTCTGAGCTTCACCTTCATGGTCACCGCCCATTCGCATAGTTGGTGCGAGTCAGCGTCGGCCAACTGGTACCACTGACCTCCCGCACCGTGCGCACAACGATCTCCTGTCGTGGCTAGACAGCCATAGTAGCGCCACTGCTGTCGCCTATCTCCAAACCATCCGTCATCGCCAGCGATTAGTCCGACGACGGCGCTTGTACGACTCTGATACCACTTGTTGGCCCCTGGATCTTCGGAACGGGTGAGCCGACCACTCATCTGCATTGCCGACCACACACTATGGCTAGAGGTAGAAGAAGGGAGAGAGAACAGAGCACACACACAGCACAAGCACCAGCGTTGGCCGGAACTCTACAGAGAAGATGACAAAATTAAACTCGCTCTCTTTACTGAGTTGCAGTGAGAAACTATATATACAACTCTACTCATCTAATCCTACAGTGACTAGATGTGACAGCAGGGCTGACTTTGACGCTTGCCCCTGCTGTGGCTACAGTGCGGCAGGGGAGCCTTTCGGCGTCTGCCCCTGCAGCGGCTACAGAGCAAGGAGCCCTTTTCAGTGCCTGCCCCCTGTCGTGCGTTCACACAGGGGAGCAGCAGATTACTTAACAGAAAAGAGCTACTAAATTTCAAGCAAGAAGAACAAATGTAGGCTGTAATTAAATAAGATAACTGAAAAAAATCTAATACACTGAGTTCAAAATTAAATACTTTCTGGTAGCCATTCTCTTCTCATAAGCAACGCGGATAGGTAGGTGCTCATCACTGTAATCATCTTCACCAACTATAGGCTGCTTTAGAGAAGTCACATTCTTGCCACCAGCCTCACTAATTAGAGGCTCTTTCGAGGAGGCATCATTCTTGCCATCAGCCTTAGTAACATTAGGCTCCTTAAGAGAAGGCTCTTTATTTCCGTTAGCCTCATTGCCTTGATGCTTTCTTTTCAAGCATGCAGGAGTTTCAGTTTTACTAGTAAGTTTATTACTAGTGTGGGCTTGATCATCACTGGCAGAATGATTGTAAATTCTTCCGGACAAGTGAATAGAGCTACTCCCAGAAACTGAGAGGAAGACACTTTCTCTCTCCTCGTATTCGATCTCCAGGTCGCAAATGTGGTTCGTTGGGTTCAACGCACAGATCTTCACAGGATTCATATTGCCAACATTGCACTCCAGTATGCTCCAGCCAACATCAGCATAACTACCTAGCAACGCCTGAAAAGTAGATCACCAAAATCAAATCATGCTTTAAATAATGAAGGGAATTTAAGCAAGGGTTCTAGTGTTCAGATAGAAGCACTAAACTACTACATTTCCATGCATAATGACAGGGAATCAGAGAAGAAATTATTGTAATAAAATGTGTGATTGTATTTATAATGATCAATGGGAAAGGATAGTAACCTTTATGGCCTGTCTAGATCTCCTAAAAATTACGAGAATAAGATCCAAACAGGTGGATTCTAGGGGAACTTTTTTTTATAATCCAACCACTAGATTCTCACAATCCAACTATCCACCACAACCCTGTTATTTGGAGATAACAAATCCAACCAATTAGTATCTCTATTAATAATCTAGGATCCAAACAAATCTCATTCTTTATCCAGAATCCAGATTCTCTTAGTCACTATCTAGAACCTAGATCCTCATAATCCAAACAGGCCATTAATTTTTGTAGTCTTTTATAGGACATTGTTAAGCTGGCAGTGTACTCACACGATACTCAAGCACTGCACCAAATCAGTTCCGTGTATTTTGTCCCAACATTAGAGTTGCAGATGACGAGAAAATTTCAGTTATTGAAAAATGCAAGAGAAGTTATGATTGTACAATAGAACTAGCTAAAGATTTGCAGTGAACAAAATAAAAGAAACTATGATTGCACAGCAGAACTAGCTAAATTTCACATATCAAGCCTATACTAATAAAAAGAAACTAGGATTGCAGCCACAAACAGAACTAGCTAAAGATTTTAAGTGTGAGGCACAAGTGCATAACTTCGGGGGAGGTTGAAGAGTAATTCCAATGAACAAATTGATCAACGACAAAGACCAGATTTTGCACTCCAACCTAGTTATCGGTGTGGTGTGAGAAATTACAGACGGCAATAAGATTTTGGTATATATCGTGACATGCTTTCAAGATATGGGGAGAAAATATTTCTGGAATGGAGCATTATGACTAATTTTACAAGAAATATATGTTTCCACCAGTGACAGAGGCAGCGGTGGGGCTAGGGGGGCTCTAGCCCCCCTACCCATCCTGGGCACGTGGAGCCCCTCTAAGCGCTCCCTTGAAATTTTATGCATATATGTATTAGGTAGGAGGGGCTAAGGTTAAGAGAAGATAAAAAAAGCCTCTATTCTTTTGTTCAACCCCTCCTAAATTTTTTTCTGGCTTCGTCACTGATTTACACAAGCACTAGAAATACACTGATTTTGGTATATGTTATGGCATGCTTGAAAATATGGATAAAAAAGATGCTTTCAAGTTTTAGCGAAGGGAGATTTTAAGGTATTCCACTTTCATAGGAGACATTGGTTTCCTTTGATCGAATGGCTAGGATCTGCTATTACTTTAAAGGGGATAAGATATCATTTTGACCTTCTAAAGGTTATTGCAGTCACCGCACCCTTCCATGTTAATGGGAAAGGATCCCATGGAAATAATCAGTAAATGTAATGACTGTCACTCTATATCTGTAGAGGGATTGCTATTATTGTGAAGAAATGTCTATACATGTCAAATTTTGCAAGGACATTATTAAATAAATGAGTGAAATCACACCATGTAACAACAGAAAGCAAAAAAAAGTTTGTAATCGAGTTAATATAGATATAAAATTATTATTATGTAGGAAAGTCTAATATGTTTTCAAAATTAAATTTGATAGCCTATGTGGTTTGTAATATATTATCTAGCTGGTTGCAAATTTAAGTAATGTAAGACTTAGGGCGTGATTGGTTGAGAGAAGAAACCACGGCCTGGCCCCTGGGATGCATGACGCGCTGATTGGTTAGCTGGATGCAGGCTTCCGCCTGGCCCAGCCGGTGCAAATGCGGCTTCCCAGCCAGGCTCTGCGGAAACGGAAATGAGATCAGTTTCCCGCGAGCCAGGCTCGCGCGGTGCCGTGCGCCCGTACGATGTCCAGGTTTTCTACTCTGTGAAAGCGCACGCACGGGCAACAAATCACAAGCTGCGTTCAACCAGGCCCGCGCGGTGATGCAAACCAAACAAAGGCGTTTGCATCCGTCGAACCTGGCCACGCTTGCCCTGGCTCCGCTACGCAGCCTGGCTCATCCGCGTACGCCATCCAATCACGCTCTTAACTTTGCTCCAATGTGTTCCAAAATTTTAATTCAGACACTACTTCGGAGTATGTATAATTTCAAATTGCAAATTATAGTACAGAACACATATCCTAAACAATGTGATAGAACACGAAGCAATGACTTTGTGGAAAACCGAAACTGAGGATCGATGTGCTCACACTTCGACTGAAGATCCACTAAAGGAAGTCTAATAATGAACAATGCTTTGATTAATAACAGATGTGATTAATTTGCAAAATCATATAAACACATTAATGTGACACATGCATACAGATTATTAATATGGTAACAACCATGTGGTGGCTCAGGGCGCGTTTGGTGGAGCTCGCGTCGGCTCTGGCTCTGCCACTGTGTGGGTACTGTGGCGGAGCCGGCGGAGCACCACAAACGTAGCTCCGGCAGCTCATTCTCAATCCACGTTCATTTGTATAGGAGCCGGAGCTATTTTTTAGCCGCTACAGTGATCTACAGGGTTGCACAGTCGCTATATAAAGGAGCCGGAGCCTCGGAGAGCCGAGCCAAACACGGCCTTACAAGTGAGAGATACTAACTAGCTGCCATTCCAACAGCTGGTTGTAGCAGACAATCAAGGACGGGTCTATTTGGTTGGGCTTTTGGTTTTGGCTTTTGGCTCCGAAAGCCAAAAGCCCAACCAAAGGGGTTGCTTTTGGAGGCTGCTTTTTCAGAAGCAGCTGTTTTTCCGTAGTACATTTTTGAAAGCTGGTTTGGTTCTGCTTTTGGCTTTTGGCTTTCTGCTTTTCGAAATTGGTGGAATAAAAAGCTCTTCTATAGTTATTTCAAGAGACATAAAGATAGAAGGTATATTTTATACTTGTTTAACCAAATAGCTTTCAACTTTTCTACAGCTCATAGCCCACGACAGCTTTCCCACGGCCAAAGCTCAACCAAACAGACCCGTAAAATCTAAAAATCTGTGCAACTAAAATGATTTTTTCCTTACAAGGAAAATAACTTTCCTCTGTTGACTAGATATGCCGTTTTTATCTCCTGTTGTTATTACAGACAAAACAAAGGACGACATAATAAAGAACAAATCAAAATGTGAGCACAGCTAAACTACTAAAAAAGACAGATTACTTCGGCGTGCCGTGTGGACCTAATTAAAAACACGGGTTTCGTCTCCATCTGTGCGTGCAACATGGTAGAGCTTCTGGAAGCATCATTGTATTAAAATAAATGGAGATATGCAACCTAAGTGAAGGGGCCTAGAGAAACCCAAAGAGGCCATGAGCCAAAGAGACGGTCCACCTGGGTGATTCGGAAGCGGCGGCCGGGGGAGGGCTGGTGGATGTACGGCTCGCCGGGCTTCACTTCCACTCCTGCGCCCAAGGACAGCGGCAAAAATCAAATCCAAAGCAAATTAAGATCAATTAGCAAGATTGGTTGCAGGAATCAGGAAGCAAAATGTTGGGAGCTAGAGACTGGAGCGGTGATGGAAGATGAAAGCCTTAGCTGAGTAGTACCCCAGAAGGTCATGGCGACCTCGAGCGTATCGGCCGGAGGGGAAACTGCGATTGGAGGGAGCGCACTGATCGTGACCCTTCGCTTGGTTTGCGGAGGAGGACGGGGTGACGGCCTGACGGGGGGTGGCTCGGTTTACGAGGCAGTGTCACGTCGGTGCAAAGCGACAATGGAGCAGGACTGCAGGAGGCGAGGAGACGTGGCGTCGTATGGGTGAAAACGGCAGGCATATTTTATGTTGGTACGAAGTCCGAATATTTAATATTTATTTAATATTAATATTAGATACTATATCTGTATTTAAATATTTAAATCATATATTTATGATGTTGGTATCTAATTGTATTCTATTCTTTATGGTTGACACCATCTGTATTAGACAGAAATATAAAAATAAATATAATATCAATAATATCCTTTCGTTTTCATCTCTAGCTTTTGAGGGCTCGTCTATATGAAACCTGTTGGCCACAAGGAGAGCACAGCGCGCCCATGGTAGCCAAAAAGATGTCGCCCGTCTTATTGCATCTCGACGGTGTCGATAGCGCTGACCGCAGCCTTAGAACATGAGTTGCAATAGGAGCTTGCCCCCGCAGGGTCAAAGGCCGTACATGCTTGCTGCCATTGTCGTGCAGGCATTGATCGGTTGGGTTCGTTGTCTAATGCTGATTAGTTGAAGTACGCGGGCCCAGTGGCATCCTCGGCTCAAAAGGCCGCTTTTGCCTGTCCTTGCGGGTGGCTGTGCGGGCGAAGTGGTCGTTGAACTGCGGGTGACGTGCCATCGCTGCCCGGTGGGGACGTGTAGGCTTGTGTGGACGAGGCCCTGCGTGTTAGCGTCATTTGCTACACTGCTAACATGGGTAGCATCCTCCAACAATAGCATAAAGACGAGAAATAAATATAGAGTCGTCGAGCTCACTGGCGGTTAGCCACCATCTTCAATAGGCCGAGAACTTTACCTGCAACATGGTGGGATAAACCTTAAGTACTCGAATGTACTCAGCTAGACTTACCCGACATGAGAGAAATAAAAAGGCTCTCAAGAATATGCGAGGCTTATTTAGTGGAGCTGGTTGGATAGCATAACTTTGCAAAAAGAGTATTATTATTATGAGTCCTTACTTTCAATCTTTTAGTCAATATTTTAGCATCAAGTTTAGTGAAGCTTATTATGGCTAACTTTGCACCTATTCTAGAGCAATCACTTGATTAATAAGCATCACAATAGTAACCATATCCGATTATCATATAAGCATCATAACCATCATGTTCCATCCAGTGTTACTACGATGCTGGAGCTAATCTAGTTTCTCACTATTCGAGAGAGACGGCGATTTG